TCAAGTATATTTCTGCATCTGTATACGTGTAGGGTTATCAGGATCTCAAAGTTCCTAAGCTAATATATACAAACTAAGCCGGGCTATCTCATCAGCCCCATGGGAGAGGGTGCAGCCCGGACAGCTAGGGGGCTGGTGACCCGTGCATCTGTGCTCCTCCATGTCAAAAAACCAAATGCATAGCCCTTTGATGGAGCAGCCACCTTGAAATTCACTGTGAATTTGATCTTCTGGCCATAGCTGTTAAAGATTAGTTGTTTTGGCACAACGGTAACATTGATTCCTGCCGGATTAGACACTACAGCTTTGTAAACACTTCTCGCTTTCCCAACATTTGTCACGGTTCGAGTCACTGAGAAGCTGTCTTTAAGATTTGGAACGGTGATTGAAGGGTAATTGAGGCTAGAAGCTGTTGTGAATGTCTGATTACATGTGCTGTTATCTCTTGTGACCAGACGCAGTGATTTCTCACCATAACCAATTGAACAGAGAAAAGCTTTATAATCTATTGGATGGGCATCATAGATGAGGCCAGGATCAAGAACTCTTGTAGGATCAACAAACCCTGACCCATAATCAAATGCATTGGCCATTCTTCCTTCAGGATCCACTCTGATGGGTTTGCCACTCTTATCCAGTATGGTAGCTGCATTTTCCATTTGAAATCCAGATTCTTGGTCAGATAATTCTCAACAAAAGGTAGCATATTTTAGAGACTTCATGAATCCCACAGAGAGAACTTGTCGTGGAACACCAAATCAATCATCACTTACCTGTGGTCATGATTGCAGACTTGATGGCAGATGGAGACCAGGACGGGTGAACTGCTTTGATCAAGGTTGCAACTCCTGTTATGTGTGGGCATGACATAGAAGTTCCAGAAAGAATGTTGAATTGCATTTTCCCAGCTGCTGGAGACCAGGCTGCGAGGATGTTCAGTCCAGGAGCTGCAACATCAGGCTACAAAGCAGTAATGTCACAAGGAAAGAGGTAGAAACTTAGAATATCATAAACGAAGCGTGACATAAGTTGAAAAAATAATTAAAATAGGCCAGGAGGTCTTCTGAAAAACTAGTTGATCTCAAGTTGAAAAGTTACCTTCAGAATTTCAGGGGTCAGGGAATTGGGTCCTTTGGAAGAAAATGAAGCAATACGAGGTGCTGGTTGAGAACCCAAAACTGTCTTTGCACGGGAAATTCTTGACATTGGTTTGCTGTTCACAATCAGAGTACCCTGAATCAGAAAATTTGAGAAACTTGAGTGCTCAAACACCCAGTCTCCATACTGGCAAGAAAAAGACAAACCGTGTGTTATTTATGTAAGATAGAATCTTTCTTCCCATCTCCCTCCCCACAACAGCTGAAGGGAAGGGAAAAGGGATGGCAACATCTTTATCTGCCTCGTCAATAAGAACCATTCCAACTCCTCCAGCTTCTTTCACTATCTGGCTCTTTGCAATCTTAGACTCACTTGAACTCTCAGCATGTCGACAGACAAGAACTTTCCCTCTGGCTTTGGTACCATTCAAGGAACTCTCCAAACAGTAACTACATGAACAAGCAAGAAAAAGGAAACTAACTCAGATTTCTCCCATGCATCGGAATATAAATTTCACTCACTTTCAAGTACCTGTTGCTTCACCTGGATTGATAAGGTGTGAAATATCCTGCAAAGGCTTCAGAGGCAGAGATGATCCTTGCAGAGGCTTTCATTTCAAAGAGACTCAGACTTTCCCCCTGTTTTTCAGAATTGAGAACTAATAAGGCTCTGCCAATTACTGCAAACAATACTTAATAGAAGGACGGAGTTGTATTACCATGAATTTTGTGGCATTTCCTAAAACAATGTCAGATGCAAAATCCCTATCCATCGAACTAGCACCAACAGTGATCATCCAAGGGGCAAGGTTGGTTGCGGAGCCACGGGTTCCTGCATTTCCAACTGAAGCAACTACTAACACTCCACGGCTAGCAGCATGGAATGACCCAATGGAGATGGCATCATTGAAATAATCTCCCTGGGGAGCGTCAGGACCCAAAGACACGGACAAAATATGAACCCCGTCTCTGATTGCATCATCAAAGGCAGCTAACAAGTCAACATCATAGCAACCTGACTCCCAACATGTCTTGTAAACTGCAATTCTGGCCATTGGTGCACCTCCTCTAGCCCCTCCAGCTGCCAACCCCTTATAATTCATATTTGTAACATAACGACCAGCAGCTATCGAGGCTGTGTGACTGCCATGACCAGAGCTGTCCCTTGGAGATCTAAATGACATTATCCTTGATGAATCTTCTTCAGCTTCATAGCCACTCTTGTAGTATCGTGCTCCAATCACTTTCCTATTAATAAATTTAGATCCTCCACCAATAAATTAATGTCCTCTGAGTCAATCATAGAATAAATTATTGAGCAAGAATGAACCTGTTGCAAGATGAAGCATTGAATGCTTCTCCCAGCTGGCACTTCCCCCTCCATCTGGCTGGCACTGGAGGCATATCGGCATCACTAAAACTTGGAGATTCAGGCCAAATTCCTGACCATAAGAATCAAATCCACTATTTGTTTTTAAAATTTATATGCCAACCAAATTTATCAGGAATTTCTTAAGTAGTAAACAAGCAAAGATGGCATTTCGGAATGAATCTCTAATATCAAGGACATCATTCAGCAAAAAGAAAAATATATCGGAAGACTTGTCTGTATATGCAGCAGCACTTAATCAAAACTCACGGGGGTATTCAATCAAGAATTAGTACACAGGAAACTACTTTTAAAGGCAAAAAAAAGACCCTCACCAGTATCAATAAAACCAATTATAACATTGACTTGGTTCTTGGTTGAATGCCCTGGTATCTCCATGGTCTCTTCACCCGCCAGACCTATGAAATCCCATGAGTGAGTGGTATGTAGCTTTCTTTTCGAATTGGGAAACACAGAGACCACTCCAGGCATCTCTGTCACGAAAAACCAGAGAAATGCTATCATAAATATCATTCTGATTCCAGAACAAAGCAATAAATTGATCCTAAAGTTACAAACTTACTAGCAATCTGAGAAGCTTGTTCATCGGTCAGCTTAGCAGCAAAACCTTTAAAGCCATGTCTATAAGTATAAAGGTGAGAGGCCCGCGCTTGCTCAACACTGTCAGTAGCACACCACATTAAACCAACAAAAAACGAAACATCTAATGACATGAAAGTATTGAAAAGGGCACAAAGTTTTGACCTTCCTCCATGTACAGAAGCAAGCATGTGATGATTTTGGCTCAAAACATCATCTGGGTCATCCCCACTTTTGCTTCCCATATAAACCACATAAACCTACAAATTCAAGAATCAAAACAAAACATCAAATAAAACCCACCAAGAAACTAGCAGGAAAAAACATATATCATGTCAAGAATCAGCACAAACCTTGGAAGAAGAGCAAAAACCAACTTCTGCTACAAAAACAGCAAGAAAGAGACAGAAAAGGCAACACCAACTTACAGAAGCCATCAACATAACAAGTACAAGTCACTACTGCAAGTTCTTGAAACAAGGAACAGTTGGTGGAATATATAGGCAGCAGCAGAAAAGGGGGCGGGTGGGGGGGTTATTAATTACTAAAAGGGAAAAACAGAAAGTGGGCAGGGGAGAGAATGTTCACACTTCACAAGAATGCAATCCAGTCCACCATCTTTATATACGAGAGTGCGAGTAGAAACAAAGTTTTCAAGACACAATCACCGATATCGCGTGAAAATATACAGTACAGTGGAAACCAGCATCAGGGACCCTCTTTGTCCATACACACAAGGATAGTATACTTCGCTCGTATAAACCTCTCATCAATCCTCTAATCCTGAAATGGATGTCCTTAATTTAACCAAATCGAAAAGAGTTTCGTTTTAAAAGGTTGACCGATTAAATCTGTTCATCCAACCCGACAATTTCAAGAACTTTTTTTTTAATTTTTATTTAAAAAATGTTGTTTTTTTAATATAAAAAATATGTTGTCTTTGTTTTGAATTCACTTTATAAATTCACGACGTTGTACTGAATTTAGTAAGTATTGATGAATTTAGTAACTATGCATAAAACAAAACAAAAGAGAGAAAGCTTGGCTTTGGGGGCAAAACAACCTGACCAGCCGCGCCGGCTACCTCTCTGTCCCTACCCACTCAAAAGCCAGCTCAGCCTTTAATTCTGGAGACCGTTAAATTTAAGGTTAAAAAAGAAGTTGGTTTTCACTTTTGTTAATTTTGAGAAGAAAAGGGAACTCGTCCTTTGGAAGACGTTGGAAAGCTAAATATATATTATTTTGTTTTTCAATATTTGCTTTAATGAGTGTTAAATAAAATATTATTTTATTATATTTTTACAAAAATATTACTCTTAAAGTATAATGTGTATTTGACGTTTTTGTGATTGTAATTAAAAAAAATATTTTATAAAAAGTATTTTAAATTGAGGTTGATTTTGTATTTATATATGTTTGGTTAAAACTATAATTGAAATTAAGGTTGAATAGAAAATAATGTAATGTATTTAGTTAAAAATGCTTTTCAAATTGAGATTATAGGATAATTAAAAAATATATATTAATATTGATAGTTTTTAATGTAAATATTATGTCATCAAGCAATCTTCATCTAATTTATACAATGTTATTGAATAATATTAAACACTAATTTTTTTGAATAAAACACCATTAAAAATCAAAATTAAATTTTTTTACTAGGTTGGATCTAGTTTAATGCATTTAACTTGAGACAGCACTCGGTCCGACCGGTCCAACCAAAAAAATCCAAAGACTTAAAAACCAAAATTACAATACAAAAAATAATATATAATTATAGTAGAGATGGAAGGGAACAAAAATAAAGATCGAATACCTTGAATCAGAAATAAAAACAAAATTCAGAGATAAGATGGGAAGGCAAGCCAAAAGTATGAATGGTTCAAGATTTAAGATTTAAGATTTACAAAGATTAATAAATAAAAAGAAAAAAAACAAATAATATAACCCTGTAAAAATCTATGAAATGTCAGTCAGGAAATACTACACAACAACAAACACAATCACATTAAAAAGCAAATAAAAAAAGAGGCTATGTTACGTAAACATAACAAACAGCATGTAATTTTAAATTCAACAAAATAGAGTTTTCAATGCATATAATAGTAAGGCCCACGCATAAAAATTACAATTGATTTTATATTCAAATGATATATTGTAACTGTTAAATAATAAACATTATCACAAACATTTAGCCAAATGAGCTTATAATGGGATGTATTATTTAGAAGAGCTAAATTGGTACTATAGTTTTCTGAATGGTATAAATATATATTTTTTGTTTGTATACATTAAAATGATAAAAATATTATTTAGAAGAGCTAGTTGTATTTTAATATATTTGATATATAATTATTTTCACAACTTGATATGATTTTGTTTACTTAATGAGTTTGAAAATAACCTGAATAATTCTCAATTAATTAAATATTAAAAAATAAAATTAAAAAAATTCAATTAAAAAAATAATTTGAATTAATCCGAGTAAATATTCCAAATATATAATACAAGTCCTGAAATAAAAATAATTTTATAAAAATTAAACAAACCATTAAAAAATTAGTAAAAAAAATATCATTTTAATGAATAGTATTTTAGCATTACTGCAAGATAAGCAGGAATAAATTTTTTGCAAAAGAAATGGTAAAACAACATTTTGTTTGTCACTCTTACTTTACCCTGTAAAATAAATATTGAAAAGTTAAAATAATATTTTTTTATTATATATTTTTATTTTTATTTTTTATTTATATTTTATAAGCTGTGTTATAGGTTTAGTGAATTTATTTAAATTTTATTTTTTAATATTAAAAATATTTAAGTTATTTTTAGATTCATTAAATTAACTAATTTTATCAAATTGTTTAAATAGTTATATATTATAATATAATTAATTTTTCTAATTTTTTTATAATTAAAATACAATAATAAAAAAAAACCAATATTACCTGTATATTAAAAAAACAATACTACCTAGCTTTTCTAAATAACGTCTTCCAATGAAGATACAATGAAGACAGCTGGCATTCTTGATGCAGCCTAGGAGAGGAGGGGAGAGGTCAGTGCCCCATTTGCTTTCTAGCCCCCATGCTCACCCCCACTCCCATTCCTTTCTGCTCCCCTGCTGTCACGCTCTGTATTTTTCACGGCAATCAGTTAATCACATTTTACAAGTACGGCATATTCACGGGTTGATTCTTGTCGATTCAAAATTTTATTTTATTTTTTTATTTTTTTTAAATCAAATCACAAGTTTGATCATGCTTAGATATTTTATCTTCAATAATAACATATGAAAGTTTACTATTTTGTGGCATTATGTATGTTTTTACCTTTTAAATTATTTTTCATTATAAAAGATATTAAATTTATGATTTTTATGATTTTAATATGCTAATATAAAAAATAAGAAAATTCAAAAAAATAATTTAATTTATTTTTAATTAAAAAATATTTTTTAAAGAAACCATACACTACAATACCAAACAAACTTTATAACTTGCCCAGAGTTAATAGTATATTTGTTTTTTGTGCTATTTAAAAATGTGTTTACCTTGAAAAATTACTAAATTAATGTTTTTTAAATATTTTTTTATGATTTTAATATGTTAATATTTAAAATAAAAAACATTTAAATATATTTTAAATTAAAAAACATTTTCAAAAATATTCTAAATCATGATAACTAAGCTTGCTAAGCTACCAGGACAAGAACAATACAAAGAATTCTCACATTAATATGTTAATGTTTAAAATAAAAAACATTTAAATATATTTTAAATTAAAAAACATTTTCAAAAATATTCTAAATCATGATAACTAAGCTTGCTAAGCTACCAGGACAAGAACAATACAAAGAATTCTCACATTATATATATGAACTCGTTCCTGTGTTCATAGTCCAAGAAAGTCACCAGCAACAAACGGTATTGTTGGCACGCACACGGTATGGAATTGATTTGGTAGTTAAGAACGTGGAAACGAGATGATCATCTGCATGTCTCGGACATTTTTCTGGGAAACCCATCAATGTCCTGTCATGGATCATGCAATCGTGATGCCCCAGAACATGATTGCCATGGATTTTTCTTACCAGTTTGCTCCTGAAAATGATTTTAATTCTTACCATCGATCATCATTGTGATCATCAGGAATTGCATTTCCATGTGATAATATAATGATTGCCATCATTGTTCTACTTGCTGCTTGAGCCCATCATGTAAATTATATTGCAGAGAGAATACAAGGCTGATAGCATGAAAAGATCCAGCCATGGAGCACTCGGAATCCATTGTTTTTGCTTTTTCACGGTGTGTTTAAATGATTTTAAATCTATATTATAATAAAAATATTAAAAAAATATTAATTTAATGTATTTTCACGTCAAATGCTCTCCTAGAACATAGCGCAGAACAGCCTCTAACACTGTATGCTTTTATTTGCTCCTTTTTTTATTTAATAGAATTCTATATGCTGTCTGAATCCTGGTATCCCGGCGCAATTTATTTTATGTATTGATGTTGTTCTTTACTGGTTTTACCTGTGCTGAACATGTGCGAGTGCAGCTAAGCAAGCAACATGGTAGAAACTAGGAACCGGTATTAATTGCTTTCCCGTTGGACAAGAGCCTAGCTTAGTACCTTGTCGGAGCACGTAAGTGAAAAAATGGCGTGGGGAGGCAACAATTTCTGATGGGTACACGTGGATGTGGAGCACAAAATGGATCTTAGAAGGAACCGTCTTCTTCGATTGCGATTTGTGTAGACTGAATTTATTGCATTGCATGTGGCATATTTGATTAGTCGATGGAGCACTACAACGACATGCCAATACATGAATACCTGGATAATTTATTGCACTATGTTATTAATACAAGTCAAACTGGTCACCCAAATAGAATTTATAAATTTATTAAAAATATTATAGTAATAAAGCTTGACCCGACCCATAATTTGAGTCACGAGTTGATTTGATTGATTTAGATTAAATTGGGTCGGTTAGGATGATACCTTTTTTATTTTTTAAAAATTAATCTAGATAATTTATTGTATTATTTTATTAATATAAGTCAAACCCATCACCTAAACAAAATTTATTAACTTATTAAAAAAATTATATTCATGAAACTAAACTTAACCCATGATCTAAGTCATCGGTTGATTATGTTAATGTAGATTGATTTAGATAATTTAAAATAATATAATTTTAATTTTTTTTAATTAAATTAAAAGTTAATTGATCAAGCAAGTAAATTTTTAAAACATATTTTTTAAAATTAAGTCTAATATAATTTTAAATTAATCTGTTAAACTAGAATAAATTTAATAAGGGTGAAAAAAATAACGCTCCAACCTTCAATACAAGCCAATATGTAGCTTCTATTTAACGGTGATACCCAATAGATGGAGGGGCTAATAAGAAACTTATTTTTGCTTGGGGTCTAATTGATAATTACCCCTTAGAAAAAAAAAAAAAGGTTGACGTGGAGCTGTAATTGATATGTTACAATTTAGCCTGTGATTAAACAATGACAGCACTCAGCCACTCAAAAAATACAGTAAAATGGCAAACTATAGCTTGGCTTAGCAGTAAAAGGAGCTTATTTCTTTTTACTGCATTGAGTTTGAGTCTTAGCATGTATGCATGTTACCTTCGCGGTGTCTTACATGCTTATTAGGTTTGCAGAGTATTCAGTGGGCGGTGAGGATTAGTCGTGGTGCGCGCAAGCTGACCCGGATACCCCACATAAATAAATAAATAAATAAATAAATACAGCAAACAAC